ATATACTGAGTGAACAATATCTTAATTCAGCAGCCACACCTTGCTCTCTTCTAGAAGTGTTCCCTATTTATGAATATTATTTCAATTAAAAAATTGAAAGAAAAGGAGAAATCTCAACTACACAAAAAAGTTTGCATTTGAATGACAAGGGCTTCAGTTCAGGTTTCTCCTTTGAGAAAGGTCCCATAGCTTTTTGTCCAATGTGGATGTTACAGGAACAGAAAGATATCAGCCCCTGATGGAGGGTAAGCAGAAAGGGAGGGAGATCACTGCCCTGCACAGCTCTAGAATTCATCTATTTGATATCAGTTTTCTTGATTTATTGAGGTCCACTGATCTAGAAACTTCACAGAATATTTATGTATGTATTTATGTAATATTATTGCTGGTCACCACTAAGGAAAGATGCAAATTAGGTGAGAACATTATTACTCAGTGTCAACCAAATTAGAATTCAGGAATCTCTTGACAAAATTTACTGGAAACAACTACATTTTCAAATAAAGTTTTGCAGCAGTATGTAAAACCCCAAAGTTTTCTTCACTGGGTTTTTTTCAGTCAAGAGAAAGATGAAGATTCATGGAGCCTTGCAGGGTGTGCAGTGACCAAAGTTTTCCTGGCAGTGCTGGTGCTCCCATGCACCTGGGGACTGGGAGTAAATTTGGCAGTGGAATTAGGGGAGATTGCTAATCCAGGTTCAATATTATCTGATCTGTGCTCATATCCTGGCACAAGTTGCAAAGCAGAAGGGAACTTTCTCTCTTCCATTGACCCTCCAAACCTGCGAAGGCGCCTGTATTCTTTAGCTCCATCTACTGGCCCTTGGCACAAACTGGATGTGTGTACCCACAAATCCAACTATTCCTGCACCAAAAGCAAGAAATAGCTCCCTACAAATTGCCCATCTGGTAGATATGATTATCTTACTTTTAAACAATAATGAATTATTATTATTTTTGTAATCTCTGTAGGGTGGGGTCTATAATTTCTCAGAGGATAAGACTGCACTGGAAATGTGTTACTGGACTACAAATGAATAATTGTGTGTGTGTGGCAATATGCAGTTATCATTTCATGCAAGTATAATTGAAGCATCATTTAAAAAACCCCATAATTAAGTCTTTAGCAATACCCATGGGATGCAAGTTGTTTCTATTCCCATTTCAAAAATGAATGAACAAAATTTGACCAAAGAATCCTGGCTCCTTTTTGCCTCCTCTGTGTCCTCTACATCTTTCCCTCTTCACATGTGGAAAGAGACTATTGGGTTGCTCTTTCCTGTGATAGATTTGGGAATAGTGATAGAGATTACTTTTCTTTCACTGTGATTTTCTATTTCTATATATATTAAGTTTATTTGTAATATTAAATTTCTTTAAAGCCTATGTATAAAAATGGCGTAATAATAAAAAAAATAGACATGCCCCTGTTCAGAAGCGATCATTATTTGGGAAAATACTCATTTGTATAAGTATACTTTTAATCAAACTTTTCCCATATGACTTCAGAAATAATTTCCTGCTATAAAATAATAATTAAAAAGGAAACAAAACATAGCACCATAAGCAATGGCTTATTGTGGAGTGACTGCAAGACACCAAGTTCTGGAATAACTTTCCATAATCATTTTCTGATGGTTGCAATTTATTTATTCAGTTTTAAGTTAAGGGCATGAACATTTATGAACTAAGACCAAAGTACATAGGAAATATTTTTTGGATAAGAAGGAAAAAAACCTGAAGGTGTTCCACACATTTTCAGCTAACATGATTTATACATGTTTCTGTTTTTAATGTTGAGGGAAGTTGGATTCAATAGATTATTTGTTTTCCATGGGGAAATCCTAGTTACAGCAGCAACTCAGTAATCCTACTTTCTGTACAATAAATGCACATCTTGCCTGTGGGAAGCTGAGGAGAATGGGATTTTGACCTAAGCAAATTCAAAAGCAAAACACCCACTGTCTTCTCTGGGACTTCCATTTTAGTTGGGATGGTCAATATTTTAACCTGCTTCCCACATGAGCAAGGCAGCTTGCCCTTCCTTGTGAGTCTGCAGGAGAGTGATCCAAACCCCACGGATCATAGAGGTTTGGATCAGTCCATGCTATTCCTTCAGCAGGCTTTGGCCACAGACTAATTTGAGATCAGCTAACATGCAGGATCAACAGTTTTTTCAAAAGAAAGAAAATACATGCCAGCACCTAGTGAACAGAACTGGCAGTGGCAGGTACGTGGGATAAGAAGAACACCTGAGAGCCTTAGGCAGATTTGGAAGCCCATGCAGGGGATCACAGGGGCTGAAAGGAGCACTGATGGAGACAAGGGGATCTTGAGTGGGGAAAATATCAGCATCTGAAGGGCAAAGGGACTGGTGAGTGAAGCAGGAGTAGGTGAAAGCAATTGTGTTTCTATTTCAGTCAATTTTACCAATTAGTGGCTGTTCTCTGATGAGGAGTCAATATAAGGTGTATTAATATGGTAATGGTGTTCTGCAGGAGCTGTGGCTGGCTGAGACTTCGGGGGAAGGGAGACAGAAATGTCAATTCGCTCATGAGTGTGAATTTAGTAGATTTACATCTTCGAATAAGAAGCCTCCAAAAAACAGTAAGCAGCAGGGGATTTTTTTTCCCTTTAGTCCATTTTGTATATAATTTGGCTAATTATGTGTTATAATATGAAGGTAAAATCCATCTTGTTTCTGAAGTCAGGGAAAAAGGTCACACTGCCTTGGATGTGTCCCACTAGCCGAGAGCAGCCAAACAGGCGAGTGAAGCCCTTCAGCAGCCAAGGGGGGCCAAGGAGATGACAATCTCAAGAAGAAAGTGGCTTTTCTAAGGAGTGGTAGTTATTTTACTTAAATACTGCAGAGAAATGAGAATTGCATGTATAACATGAGCTCTCTGCTAGCAGATTCCAAGTCCAGATTGACCTTTCTATAGCTTTGCCTTATTGTTTATCCAATTCTCTTTGTCTTGGGTCTCCCGAGTACCAGCATGACTGACATCTGCCAGCAAAGATACACTGGCAGAGGCACGTATTAGCCACTGATCCCTGCCCATCAAGATCTGCTCCAGGTCACCTGTGCAGGCTGGAGACAGGAGCACTGGGCGACACAAACTGTTTTGCTCCTGCTCAAGGACAACCATTCTTCCTTTCTGAGATTACCAACCCCCTGCCCAGTGCAATCAATATCATGAAATAAGCTGTAATCTCTCCATGAACATAAGCACCCGTTGGGATGTGAGCTGGTCAATGCACTTTGATGTATTCCTTGAAGAGCAAAAGGTTTGAAACCAAAGTGCATTGTCTGGTTCTCAGCCCGCAGACAGTTTCTGACATTTAAGGGGCATTTTATACCTGCTAATCTACTTGACTCTTGAATCTGAGGAAAAACTGAAAGTTAGGTCAATTTTAAAGAGATTTTTCTTATTTGCTCACAGAACCAAGAGCTGAGTAGATTCACTAAATCTAGGAAAGGCAGTGAACTAAAATAGGACAATTGTGTCTTTGCTGGGAAGACCTGTTTTACAACTGAACTTTATAGTTGTTATCACTTTTACATTTTAATTTCCCAAATTAGCAAAAAATCCAGCTAGCAGTGTCTAATTTTTCTCCTGTAGCATTATTTGATGTTTGGAAGTAACTTTAATCTTTGCTTGTTGTAGAACAAAACCTAGTTTTACAATGTTGCCCTAGAGGCGGCAGCAGAGTACATAAGAAACTAAAAAGCTGACGCACAAATGGGCAAAGTTGTGTTTGGTTTGTAGTTAATCTCTATAAAGTCTCACTAAAGGGTTTTACTGGAATAAAGGGCTTACATAAAACCCAAGAGGGAATATAGGCATATCTTTGAAATAGGTAATAGGGTGAAAATAATACTAATGTTATTGCATGTTCTGGATCTCAGGGAAATAAGCTGACCTAAAAAAAAAAAAAAAAATCACTTGTTGGAGAGCACTCGTGGAAGGAAACTGTTTTCCATATCACAGATTTAGAGAAAACCCAAGCTACTTGCACAGAGCTATAGAAGCTGTTGGGTCGGCAAACTTTAAAACAACTGTGATGCTCTGTGACACATTAATTGAAATGTACTTTCCAGTGCAACCATTTAGCAATTTATATAAATATCAAAGCTTTTGGGGTTTACTGTCAGTCTTTGTTTCTGAATGAGAAATTTATAAAAAACATGTGTTTGAAACTGCCACTGAGTACATGTTCAGAAGGATGTGGACACTGAACTCTATCAAACTTCAGTCAGAGCAATTATTTGATGAACAGAAGATACTTCCGTTAATAATGTCTCTTTTCAATAATAGCCCAAAGTTGGCAAAAGGGTTACTTTTTTGAGATGGGAGGAACAAAGCCTTAAAGCATGGTCCCACAGAAGTCTCATGGACAATTTGTCATTGGCTTCAGTGGAACCAGGATTTTGCCAAAAATATCAAATGCTTTCTGAAGTCTTTCCATTATTTAGTCTGCAATTAAAAATAATTCATCTTGTAAGTAAGTTGTGCACAGAACACACACTGCCACAAACTTTAGATCTGATCTCGGGTTTTCCAGCTTCTGGGACTGCTCAGCTCCAGGATTTTGGTTTCTTTCCCTCTGATGCCTAGCTGAGGTGTTAACATGACAAAATGTTCATGTCACTTCCATTATTCCTATGCTAAGTCAATCTCAGTTGACCTGACCATTGACATTATAGCAGCACCCAGAAGCCTCCAGCCACACTGGTGAGAGAACATCCTCACCAAGGCCACATTTCTCTGCTGGAAAATTAAGTCCCCAGAGCTCATCCAACCTGTCCATGGTGCATCTGCTGCTGGGACATGCCCAGCAGGGAGGGCTGTGTTTGTGGAATGAGCCCAGGCAGGGAGAGGAGCCCGGGATGAGCCAGGCTGTGAGTGGGTGCCTGGCTGCTCTCAGCAGCACTGTGACACCACTTCTGCACCTCCAAAGGACAGAGTATGGCAGCAGCCCCACAGGCTGATGGGGTGGGTGGGTGGATGTACAAAGCTTTGGCAGAAAGGACAGGCTCAGGCTGGCTAAGGGCCTGATGACTCCATGGCCCTCGCTGCATGAAGGGCGTCACAGGTTTTTCACAGTTATTTCCTAGAATCAGAGAGGGCAATTAAGACTTTTTCATCTAGGACAAAAGTTTTATTTTACTACCGTTCTTTATGTTTGGGAAGCTTTCAGTGGTTTGTAAAATGCCCTGTGTGTCCACTGAAATGCTCTCATTAAAATGTCTTGGCTTCTCTACAGCTGATGCAGAAGGACACATCTACCTTGCTCCACTAAATCCTGCAGGCTTTATTCTGGCCAGAGTTCTGCTTGGATAAGAAATGAGAGTAGAGGCAGCTGGTTCTGGTGCAATCCTCTGCTAATTCTCTGTGTTCTGGAAAAGCAATATTCCTCTGTGCTCACCCAGACTGGCACAGGAAGGGACAGTGAATCCTTGTGCAGTGTCACCTACAGGCTGTTTGTGTACAACCAAGTGTGAAAGTGAAGGGCCCTCGTGAATAGGAGTTCTCTGGAATTCGTAAATGTATACCCATAGGTATGTTTTCTGAATGCAACCTTCATTTGGGGTGATAATGTCTCTGAAAGACTTACAAAAGGACAGTTTATAGTCATTTAACACCTGATTTTCACCTGCAGATCCCTGGGAAACAAACCTCTGATATAGGAGAAAATCTTTCTAATCACTCATGTGCAGCACTCTGTTTTTAAGACTCTTTAGCTAACCTGTACAAAAATATTTGCAGCCCCTCCTTCTCCAGAAAGCCCCAGCTGATGATCCAAACTCTCAACATTTCATTCCTATGTAGATAGTTTGCTAAATTTTTTCTCGAGGCTTTATGGTTTTCAACAATATATCTTTCATCACTGTATTGCCAAAAAGAAGTGGCTACCTTGAAGCTTCCCTTAGGATTTGGACTGGATATAGAGGATTAGTTTATAACTGGTAACTTATGAACTGCACAGTGTTCTACAAACAACTTATTTTTCTTAATGTAACAGTGAAACTATGAAACCCCATCCTGAGAACTTATTTCTGAAAGGATATTTGAATGAAGTTTTAAACAATACTTTATTTGCCTATATCAAAGCTGATAATTTTTAAAGGACTGTTTTCTTGTCTTCATACAATAATCATTAACTGATCATAAATCTTGAAAATATTAATCTCTGTTTGAATTTTGAATGTGTTTGTTTCAGATTTAGGGGCTTGTTTTTTAGGGGTGTTTTTTCAAATCTGTAAGAATGTCTGAGTTTAGAGTTTGGCTTTTGTGCAGCTGGGATCTGACGATATAACAGAAGAAACCCATTATTTGTAGGAATGGAATCACAGCAGGTACTGGCAGAATACAGCAATGGGAAACTTCTGAAGAATATTTCTTGCTTTTACCTGTGTTGGTGCAAGTCATATGTGTTGGTAATAAGGGCAAGGAAAAAAACCTAACAAGTAAGCACAGATTTTTTTATTTTAGCACATCTGTTTTATTTCAGTTCAGTGTGATGGCTGGAGGGAGAAAGGGATTTCTTCAGATGGCATGTGTTTAGTTCCAATTCTTGGTAAACTTAAAACAGAAAAATACATCTAATTTTTTTTAATGGATTTCCTCCAAGTTTGTTTAACAGAAGCATATCCACTTTTTCTAGTGCCCATGGTGCTCTCTCCTAGATAGAAGGTTTTCTTATAATTGCTCTAGGTGGAATATATTCAGAGTAACCATCCCTTTGTTTGTACAGCAATTGCATCTGGAAATGTCTTTCAGGATCAGAGACCACACTGGGGAGCCTTGCAGGAACAATGACAGAAAGCCAGTCACCACCCCAAAGCCCTTACAGCTATCTAGATGAAACTGGGAATAAAGGAAAGAAGAAAATGTTTTTGCTGAGAAAAGAAGTCATTTGGCCACAGATAAACTACTGGGACTGCAGGATATAGTTAGAGTATATTAACTCCTCAATATTTTACTAAAGTTCATATATGGCTGGAAAATTATAACTTATTTAGCACATGTGTGTTTAGCCATATAACAAAAAATGCATTTTTTTCCTCCTAATGTAGACAGGAACACGTAAACTAAATGACATTTTTGGCATTATGCTAAATTATTTGTTGACTTTCATTATGATGATTATACAATTTCTTAACTAACATATTGATAAAACTTTTGGGGAAGGACCTCTCTTAACATGCTCCATTATTATGTTTGTGTCTGAACTTCATTGTCCAGAGAGAACCAGAAGCAAAATTACAGTCAAGGTGGACCCTTGATCTGGTGTCAGCTTGAGGACTCTATCAAGATCGAGCTTTTATTAGACCAGACATGGCACAATCCCTGTGTAGGAGTGCCTTTTCATGCTGAAGTTTCCACTTTTAAAGGATTTGATGTGTAAGAAGGATTAATTCTACTAAAATGGAAGGAAATGAGGAAGGAAAACAGTTTATTCTGTGACACTTAGATCTAACCTCTCTTCTCATTAATGTAAATTTCTGTTTCCACTTAGCTCTGAGGAAGCAGTCAGGCCAAAGATGAGTGCTTTTGAAAATCACTCCCTTAGCAGCTTGCTGAAGGTCAGTGGTGGGTGTTTGTGGCAGAAATGAGAATGAATGATAGTCCATTGTCTTAACCACAAGACCCTGCTTCCTCTCCTAATCCCAGGCTGATTTTGCAGGGTTATAGCACATGAAAAAAGTCCAAATTTTAAAATATTAAACTTGGCGCTGATGATAAGGAAATGATTAAGAGTCAGCTAAGGAAAGGCACAACCACACTGACAGAGAGAGTCTTCAGAGTAGAACCATATTTTCATCTAACCAGGTTTTATTTGAGCTCTCCTGATTCATACATTTACTGCATTCTGCTTTTTTGTTTTGGCAAGCACCATAGAAGTCCTGATCCAATTCTTGAGGAAATCAATGGAAGTTTGATTTGAGCCATAGAAAGCCATGAAGGGAATTTCAAGAGATAAAGTGTGGAGCCAGACATTCAAAAATAGCTTTTTTAATATGTGTCACTGACCTTTCTAATGGCTTGCAAATGCATTCTGATTACCCTAAGTGAAGGTACTTTATGGGGAAGGCTTGAAATTTGGAGCAGAATAAAGCAGTGAACTTGCTTGGGAGCACGAGAGTGATTTGGGTCATGACAAGGGGCTTGGATTCAGCTCTCACCTGCATCTGGATTTCATTCACAGGAGCAAACATGGAATGAGATAAGAAAGGGACCAGGTTGGGGAGCAATCCACCACTTGAGGGAGGTGAGGGAATTTGGGAACTCAAAATAAAACAGTGACTTGCGTGTGTCACTTCTTTGAGTGGTCTGAGTGCAAGCTCTTATCAATGTGGTCATCTCAACATGAGGTGTCCAAGGCGCAGAGAAAGAAATCAAACAACTGCTTAATCTTTCATTCCTGCTCAGAGAAGAAAATGGTGACTTTTGACTGAACTGACTGTCTCATCAGGGGCTGAATGTGGCTCAGGAACATGGAACAACCCTTGAGACATCGTCTCTGAAGACTAAAAACAAGGATACAATCATGTATTACTGTACCTGAGATTGCTGAAAATCCCTTTTGTCAGAAAACCTCCAAAAGAGAAGGAGTCAGCAGCCTAATTCTCTTTTGGACACATATTTGGGAATCATGGTAGGTTTGTAGAGCTGCCTCTGATCCCTGGATTCCGGGCCTGTAACCACTGCTGCCTTCAGCTGCTGAGTTTCTAAAGATTGTTCAAGATGATAATTCTGCTGTAGGTTTGACAGAAGGCCTCCTGGGATGTTAAAAAACACAAGTCCTGTAATTTGATGGTCACTCTGGTTCTTGGTGGCATCCTCCAACTTTTCTCCAGAGAGAAGATAATTGGGGCAGGAGGAATATTTTATGATCCAGTTCTGTGGCGCAACAGCTGCTCCCTGGAAAACTCTACCCAGTGACAGAGAAACCTCCAGGTCATGTGCCAGGGAACTCTGTGCACTTCTTCTCTATTATATGGAAATAATTTCCTATGTCTCTCAGATGTCAGACCACTAAGTGGAAGAAAAGTAAAGAAAAGGTTTGTCCACACATTCGTTTTTCTGGATTCATCTCATTGTCTCCATTCACAGAGTGGCAGAAATAAAACTTTTAAAGTGTGCTTGGTACAGTGGATCCTAAGAGCTAAAGTGGATCCTTACTGTTATCATTGTACTGCTGCTTCCAATTTTTTGCCTTCCCCATCCCAACTAAACCTTCTGTGTCAATTTAGGCAGAAAAAAGCCCTCACATTTCTAGAAAAGCAACTACACTTCTTAGAAAAGGCTCCAGGTGTCATCTTCAGGTGTTAATCTGGGTGTTGCTAGGCTCAAGCCTGCATTTCTACTGACACCAATTAAATTCCCTGCACAGATGTGGAATATGGGTGAACAGAAAAGCTGGCAGTAAACCCTGCATCATAACTTTTCCAACACAGAGCAGGATATTTCAAAACCAACTTTGTTGCTGTTGTTGTGAAGAATACTTGCCTCAAATGTTCCTTCTTTTCTCTTTTAAATGGAAGAACAAAACCTTTTCAGAGAAATGCTGAAACATTACTGCCTTTAGCATATTTTCATCCACAAATATACTGGGATTGGATTTGGTTTTGTGGGGTTTCTTTAAAAATATAATTCCAGTTTCCTTTGAAGATGCGAACTTAAATGTTGCATAAGGTTGATAATAAATACACTCCAAACTACTGCTGAGATAATTACCAGGTGCTACAGAAGTCAAGTTTCCATTTACAATCATGTAGAAGTCCTCCTTACAAACACCAGGGGGAAAGCAGCTCATGAGATAAATTTCACCTTGACTCAGCACAGGGATTTTCAGAGGTTTGTACAGGTAGTTATTGTGAGAAGGTTCTGGCAATAACTGTGATCAAACATTTTATAAATGTACCAATGTCAGAAGCTTTTCACACATAGCTTTTATTCCCTTTACTTTGAAAACATGAAGTCTTAATAGTCAAAGTGTTGGATGGTTTTTTTCTCCTTTATTCTAAGCAGATGTTTTCTGTCCTCACTCTTCTTTCCTCATTGGAAGGAATGATGAGTGTGTGCCAAAAGAAAATTGAAAACCATGTGAAAAACACAGAAAAATTATTTTGTTAGGGAAAAATAAGTTAATGAAGAATGCCTCTGTTTTGAAACTACTGGACCAAATTTAATTTCCAAATTGATTTTAAAGTATACCAGATTCTGTTATACCAGTCCCACTAGCTTCTGAACATTCTTGTGTGATTATTTTATGAGATAGGAATTCAAAATAGTTAGAAGGACAAATTTTAGTGCAGAGAAGAAGGCAGATCTCTTCCACAGCTTCCTCCAGGTCTTGTCTTTCACTTCTGGAGGTACATGGCTTTTTGCACAGCATGGCAAGCACAGAGTGAGGAGGAGCCCTAAATGCAGGCAGATACTCACCCATGGGCTGTTTTTGTGAAGTGGTCCTTTAGCTGCCATCCTTGCTGAAAGATGATGGTTTCCATAGATCCTAACTCCAAACCCGGGGTGTCTGCCCACCCCAGGTTCCCTCTGAACTCTTCACTCTGCAGACACAACTGCTTCATGCAAGGATGTGACCACAGGACTTGATGAGAGTCTTAACAAATAGCACTGAAAGAAAAGCAGCACCCAGTCAATAATCTGGGGTGCACAAACATTAATCAGAGAGAACCCAGGATGCTTTACATTTGTTCCTCCACTTACTGCTGCTGACAGTGCATCTGCATCCCTCCATTTGCTTCAGTCTAAGAGAGAATCATTAGACATGAAAGACATTTACTTATGTAAGAAGGAAACATCTATGGTTACCTAACTTAAGCTGAGTGTTATTTTAAAGGCATTATTATTATTATTATTATTATTATTATTATTATTATTATTAATACTGAATCTAGGTTAACACTTTTCCTTTCTTCCTTTTGCCATGATTTGAGTGGTTCTACTTTTCAGGTTGGTATGTACCTGGTGTCATTAAATAGGATGTCATATTTGTTTCCATTAGGCATATGTATGTGTGAATATCTTCATAAAACATACATAGAGCACTAACTGCTAAGACCTGTGGGACAGAAATCAAGACAACATCAGAGAAAATATATATATATTTTTTTTTTTTTTGCCTACTGAGCCTGCTGTGGTTGCTATTTCAGCTGTTCATTAAAGTTATATTGCTTCCTTTATCTCTTGTGCTCATGGAATACAAGCACCTCCATAATGAGCTTAAATTACCATGAGCTAAGAATAGAAAACTCAATTTCAGTTCTTGGGAGGCTCAAGCTGTGGTGGTGCATGGGTAATCAAGCAATATTAGCTGTATAATGGTGCTAGGATCCCAGGGCGTAGCTGCTGGAATGTTTATGGCGGGGAAGCACAATAAATATCTGTTTTCTGTGCTTTCTGCATTTCTTTCCCTGCTTCCTTATACATTTTGAAGTAAACATCATTGCTTCCTCTATATTAATATCCTCTATGAGTGGTTGGCCAGCCATGTCTATCTTTGGAGAGTAGAACCTCCTCTGTTCTCATTTTCTCATTTATACTGCTAAGCTATGGGAAAGTCCCGGTCACCTGAGTTATCAGTATCAGAAAAGTGCACAGAAAACTGAGTGAAAATGCCAGAACTTGGACTAAAAAGATTTGTGCAAAAACACCCTCTGCTTCTGAGTGTTTTAGATGCTGTGTACTTCACTCCATTAAATAGCATGTGAAAATAAGACTTTTCCTCACACACCTGATCATCAGCAAAGCACAAGTAGGAGTTCCTTGTGCAGGGGGATCAAACTTACTCTCTTGTTACTTCAAGTTTAACAGTTGTTTTAAGTTGTTTTAAGTCCTACTCCAAGGCAGA